GTGTGTAACAGCAGTGACAACAGCTATTGCAACAGTGAGGGTGAGGAGACACCCTAAGCAGAGTACCAGTGGGGCAGGGGAAGAGTGACCGGAGAAAGATGCATCAAGACTAACACATGAAAGAACCCAGCTGACAGGAAAGACTGCAAAGGCTGCTTGACCTGAACTTCATAGTCAAGAAAAGTACAACACACAAATGTGAGACAGGTGGGGGCTATGTAAATGACCGGTGCTTTGTGGGGAGGGGCTTGGCTCACTAGCAGCACTCACATTCTCTGGAGCACTTTCTCTTTCTCACTGTCTCTGTTTCTGTATCTAGCCATGTCTCTGGTCTAATTCTTTCCTGCAGCACACAAGATTCTCTTCAGCTTGTGGCCTGGGACTCAGATCAGATGCCTGTAACACCTGGTGAGCCAGCCAGAGAGAGAGGCAAACACAGGATGCTTCTCAGTTTTTCTGTCTCTCTTAACAAAGGCCCCCATGTGCTGTTATTCTTTCCTTGAACAACTGGAGATGATGGTCAGATTTCTACAGGAGATGAAGGAAGCCTTGAGAAATCAGATTCAGTTTCTCCTTTTCCTTTCCCAATGGTCCCAAGAGTATATGCCTGGTCTCCTGCCTCTCCCTACTGGGAGATAAGTCTAGACAGAGAAGCATACATCAGCCAAAGACAACTGCCAAGACCACCCTTGAAATTCAGAAGCAGAGCTGAGATGATGACTCAGCAGCTAAGAACACTTGCTGTTCTTGCAAAGAGCCTGGGTTTGATTCCCAGTGCCCACATAGCAGTTCACAGTTGTCGGTAGTTCCAGTTTCAGGGAATCTGTCGCACTCTTTTGGCTATGTTGGGCACAAGGCATGTACATGGTGATACACATGTAGGCAAAACACCCATACCCACATGATAAAATACACCTGAAACATTGGTTTACAGGTTTAGCCTGTTTAGTAGATTCAACTACTCATTTAAGTGAGTTAAACATGCACCTTCAAGGTGAAAATCAATTTATCAATACTTACATTTCAAATCATAACATTGCTCCAAATAAAGCTAAGATCATGGCAGGCTCAAATTTAGGCCAGCAATTGTATATATTTCAACATGTTGGCTAAACACATCCCTGTGAACAGTGAAAACATGTAGCCCCATTTTTCAATGTGTAACCATAATTTGAAAACGAATTTCAAGATTTCTAGGAATATAATCAAATTTTATGTTTCCAATTCCATTTTCAGTCCACATAAATATGTTACATACCAATTTTCAAGCAGAATGAACAAAGATGCAATGTGACATTTAACCTAAAAAAAAAAAAAAAAAAAGTTAAATGTCTTTACTCAGCTTTTTTTGGATCCTGTCTTTCCAGACACAAATATCCCTCCATTCCCAATCATGATCTATTTATGTCATTGCTTAGTGAGCAAGTTTTTAAGTTTTGTTTTGTTTTGTTTTTGTTTTTTTACAAACAAAACTGTGTATCCCTGGCTGTCCTGGAACTAGCTCTGCAGGCTGGCCTTGAACTCATTGATCTGCCTGGGACTTCAGTTCTGGGACTGAAGGCATCTGCCACCACCACCTGGCTGGGGAGGTATTTTTAAGAACGGAGTACATCTAGTAAAATTAGAACCAAACTACCTGGCAAGCACCTGTGAACTCAGAGTCACAACTATTATACTTTCCATCAAAGCAGCTGTTAAGGCATTAGATCCCCAAGTGCAATGTCAAACAGCACACTAGGTTGTTGCCCTCTTTGTCTCCTTGTTTTACTTACATTCAAAATAGTCATGAAAAAAAAAGTGAACTTTTATTTCTTACATATGTTCACTGGGGTGGGGGTGGGGGATGAAATCCTTGGACCTGCTTAGTGACTTTATTTTTAAGACTGGTTTCTTTGTGTAACCCTGGCTGTCTTGGAACACACTCTATAGCCTAGTCTAGCCTCAAACTCAACAATCAGCCTGCCTTTGCCTCCCAAGTTCTGGGATTAAAGGCATGCTCCACCATGCTCAGCTCTGCTCAGTGATTTTAAGATAGTTATGAACAGGTACGGCATGATTACGATTGTTATGTGAGGACTTTTTCCTTCTCTGCAGTGGTGGTGATGTGTAGGAAAATAATACATAGGCCCCCTTTTTCTCATCAGCTTTTGTATTTGTACAATTGCATTTGTACATTTTGTATTTAATGTGTGGCCCAAAGACAATTCTTCCTCTAGTGTGGGACAGAGAAACCCAAACAATTGGTATAAGACTGCCCAGCCTTAGTATGAATCACCACTAGATGGAACTCTAGGGTTTCCTGAGTAGGAAAGGGATGCGGTGGTGTCCGACATGAACTGGGTTTGTTTTTTTTATCTCTGTCCTTGCCCAGTTTGGCCCTTCCGGTTGGCTCTTGAGGTCACCTCCTGGTCACCAAAGACCTTGACGTACACAGCTAGTAAAGCAGTCAAAGGAATCTAGGTCTCCTTGATCTACTTTTGAAGCTTTTGCCCAGTATCAGAGGGACTTGGCTTATAAAGCCTCCTGCCAAGAATGGCTTGGCACCCTCGGGATCCAGATATATGTATTTGGGTGTGGTTTCAGCCAGCATAAACTGAAAGAGAGCTGGGTTTTCAGTGACTTAGCTTACTAAAATTAAGGCGTTTTATAATGGCTTTTTTTCATTCCATCCAGTAGACAGACAATTACACAATCTCAGTAGGACCTTTCCTGATCATTTCTTTATGTAAGTGGCCTGATAAGACCTGCAGGGTTCCATGTCAGGCTAGACAATGGAGCTGGCCAGGCTAGAACGGAGAGATTCAGCCCCATCAGCCCAAGCTCACAATGAAGATAAGACATGCTGTTAGACCCCCGGAAAACTCGGTATCCGGGGTCCCAGGCCACGACTTCGGTCACCCCCACCAGGCAGATTCGAGAGCTTGATGCAAACTGCATGAGGCTTTATTGTAATTTAACGAGCTAACCCCATGTTAGCTCGGGTCTTTTACCCACCCGCCATGGTGGATGGCTCGCAAAGATAAGACCTAGGGCCTCCCAAGAGATCTTGTAGGGCAGCGTAAGGGGAGTGTCTAGGGGTACACACAGGCTCACTATTGGCGTGCCTCCAGCCTTGGAGGGTTTGCCCTGTGTTGGCCAACTGGTTGTTATGGCCCATAGGCCCTCCCAGGGTGGTTGCTATACTCTGCGTCATTGCTGTGCACTTGTCCGTAAAGTACACCCAGAGCCATAAAGCCTAGCACCACCAGCTAACTTCTGATTGGTTCCTTGTCACGAGGCAGGCACCTAACCTCTAGTGACTAAGACAAGGTCAAAAAGCACGTGTCACTGTCATGGCTGCCGAAATGGGGAGCTGGTCCCTTCATTCCCCCATTTTCTTTTTTGGAAATTCCAAAAAAGAATTTGGAATTTTGGAGTTCCAAATTCTACTGGAGTTTTTGGGGTCAAAGCCTCAGCCTAGCAGCCCTAACAAATTAGGCTCAACCATCTATCTTCAATAGACCAATCAAAGAGATAACCAATAGTGCAAAACAGAGAAAGATTTATTCTATGTGGATACTAGAAATAGGAACAAAGAGATCCAGTTAACTAGCGCCCCCATCAGGGAGTGATAGATATTGACATCCCCATGCAAGGGAGTCCCTCCTGACTTAGTATTTTAACCAGGGAAAATGGGCGGCGAATTCTTTCCCAAGCTACTTCCTGCTGACTTTGGGACGAAGTTAGGGACCCCAGAAGGTTGAAATGCTAGTCAAAAGCAAAAAAGGAATTTAGGCAATGGGGAATCCATCAGGGGCTTTTGGTTAGCAGACTCCGCTGCAGAGACAGGGGGTGTCCACATCAGCTGGACTGGTTCACATCCACAGCAAGTCCAGGGCTAGCAGTCTACTTAGAACAGCCTGTAGTCAGAAACTGATACTCAGATGTCTGCCAGAAGCAGAAACCTGTTTAAGACATGTTTAAAATAGGAACAGAGGTTAAAACTTATTTACTGAAGCCCACAGTGTAGAAAAAGCAGATATCTGGATATCTGTTCAAACAGAAGGAACATATTTATAAATTTGAGTCCTAGCAAAAACTACAGATTTGGGCTATAAGCATGTACATTTTTCTTCTGTCCAGTTAGCCAGGTATGGATTGGACAGAGGTGCCTTTGGCCTGATGAAAAGCCCTTTAAGTTTGTACTTAGATGACAACCAAAATAAACTTAAAAACCTTGAGCTTGTGCCTGAACAGTAGATAGTCATTATTTTACCAGCTAACATGCTGACTATAGTCTATAGTGGATCTGACTGTCTGATGCTGTCAAGCTGACAACCATTAATACTTCAGAGATCTGAGAAGGGTATATTCTATTCCCTTCAATGCATGCAGTAAACAGTTGGGGGGATATAAATATTCTGCCAGATCAAATCAAAAGTGAGCCCTTGAAATTACTTGAAGGTCAAGGAATCATAGCTAAATCATCCTAACTTGGGTTATTTGGGACAGTTTAGACATAGGCAAGAGGATATGTATCAAATGGTGCCACCTAGTGAAGGAAAGTCTGTCTTCTGCAGAATAGGACCATAATTTTTAATTCTTCCCTGAGTTCCCTGTATGAAGTTCCTAGGAGAGTGTGAGGGACAGAGTGTATCTGGGAGGGGGGGGGCTCGCTGGTTGCCAGGGGTGAGTCTTGGTCTTATCACACTGAGTCCTGAGGCATGGCTAATCTGACTTTAAAGGGAAATTTTACAAAACAAAACTGAAGAGAGAGGGGGACTCACCCTCTTGTAAAAAGCAAAATGCTAGCTAGCTACCTGCAGGTCTCTTGGATCAGGAAGTCTGGCTCAGAGTGTGTGTGTGTGGAGCGGTGGAGGACACAGACAGCAGATACAACCTTTGTCAGTCACATGCTCAGCTTGCTACTGGAGTTTTTGGGGTCAAAGCCTCAGCTTAGCAGCCCTAACAAGTTAGGCTCAACCATCTATCTTCAATAGACCAATCAAAGAGATAACAAATAGTGCAAAACAGAGAAAGATTTATTCTGTGTGGATACTAGAAATAGGAACAAAGAGATCCAGTTAACTAGGCAGGGTTTTCCTGAGAAACAGGACCTACAGTGCTAAGGGGATTTATTTAATTCATTTACGAAATAAAGCTTGTCATCCAAAGATTGTTGTCTATACACTGAAAACATTGGAGAACCTCGTAGCTGTTCAGTCCATGAGTCTAGTTCCTCAACAGTCTCAATATGACACTGAAAGCCTCAGAAATCCCCAGAGAATCTTTGAATGTCAGGGAAAAGTGGTGGCAGCAGTGACAATGGAAATAAACGCACTCCAGCAAGCCTTTCCTTGGACCTCTTTACTTCTGAGCTCTGTGGAAAGTGCCACTCAGTCTAGGGAAGTCTTCTCCCCTCAGTTAACTCTTCTGGAAATGTTCTCACAGATCTGCTCAGAGGTGTCTTTCAGTTGATTTCAGAACCAAGCAAACTGACAATCAAGACTAACCATCCTAGGCTGGAGACATGGCTCAGCAGGGAACAGCGTTGGCAGATTTTCCAGAGGACTCAGGTTCAATTCTCAGCAACCAGAAGATGATTTACCACCTGCAGCTTCACGCATGTGGTGTACCTACATTCATGCAGGATAAACACTCATACACATAAAATAAAAATAATTATTTAAATACTAATCATATTATCCACTGACCCATTAAATCCATCCTTGGGATACTGACATAAGGTCAGAGTTTGGGGGTGTTATTTAATTTGGGTTTGTTTTTTTCAAGACAGGGTTTCTCTGTGTAGCTTTGGAGCCTGTCCTGGAACTCAATCTGTAGACCAGAATGGCCTGGAACTCACAGAGATCTGCCTGCTTCTGCCTCCCAGTGGAACTCACAGAGATCTGCCTGCTTCTGCCTCCCAAGGGCTGGGATTAAAGGCCTGTGCCACTACGGCTCTAATTAGGTATTTTGGAGACAGTCTTACTATGTAGACTTGGCTGGGTTAGTGTGTAAGCATGAGGATCTGACTTTGATCTCTAGCACCAAGAAAAGCTGCCATTGTGGTGGCACTCACCTGTAATCTCAGGACTGGGGAGAGGTAAGGCAGACTAGCCCTAGCCTAGCTGAGGTAAATGCATTCCAAGTTCCTTGTTCATTGAGAAGCCTGTCTCAAAATATAAGGTGGGCATGATTGAGGAAGACATCCAGTGTTGACCTTTAGCTGTACATGGACATGCACTCACACAGAAGAAAAAAAATATTCCATAAAAGAACAAAACCAAAGCAAAACAAAAACAGTTAACTGTTAATTGTTCTAGAAGGGATCCTAGCCCACTCTGAGCATGTGGCTCTGGCAGGCCTTGCCCTCTCTCCAATTCCCTCAGTCTTGCTAAAAATTGTTAGATTACTTTCCTGGCCTAGTCCCTTATTTGGCCACTTCCTCCTCCTGAGACTGACTACCAAGGTTCAGCTATTAGGTACTGAAGTCTAGCAATCAGAAGCCCCCTTTGGCTCACCCAATTAACACCAGTTAAAATTAAATACCCATCCTAACACAGGGAATTTCCCCTTGTATCGTTATAACCTGCTGTTTTCTGATGCATGTCTCCTCTTTATCCAGAGGCAGTCCTCTGTCCTCGAGGACGCCTCCCTCTGCCCCCTTCCCTTCTTCCTCCCCCTTCTTCCTAGTCCTCTGCTTCCCATCTGCCTCTTCTCCCTGCCCTCTGTCCGGCTGGGGCAAATAAATCTTTGTTCTGACAACTTGGTCTTGTGGGTCCTGAGCCAATACTTCTCCTTTCAGAAGGCAGGAAATTAACAGTTAACTGTTGAATTTGGGTCCAAAGAAAAAGCGGTTATTGGAGGATTTCACTTTAGCCGGAACTAACTAAAATGTTAACTAACTGAAGTTAATTTTCAGCTTCCGTCCTGAGGGAATGATTTGTGTCAGCTGCTGATCAATATTAATGAGGAAAGTGGCAAATATCTGCCACATCACAATGTTAACCCTGGAAATAAGATTAAAATTTCTATTAGATGATTGCTATGTTTTTATGATTATCAGATTACAATGGGTATGTCCTCAATATCTTTGTTTCTCTGTGTTCTCTGTGTTTGGATTCAATTAAAAAAAAAAAAACAAAACAAAACAAACAGAAGACTACAACTCACTTCAGCCTTTCTCATCATGTGGCAGAAACCCAAATAACAGAACCCCAGCATGATAAAAGCCTTGTGTGGTTTAAATGTGAAATTTCCCCCTAGGCTCAAATGTTTATCACTTGGTGTTGGAGGACTGTGAAAACTTTAGGAAGGAGAACCTTACAGAAGGAAGTTGATCAGTAGGGGTTGGCCTTGAGGGTGTATAACCTATCCCCATTTCCTGTCATCTCTCTGCCTCATAACTGTGGAAACAATGTGATTAGCTACTACATCTCCCTTCTTAAACTGTGAGCCCCAAATCTCTTATATTGTCTTCATGTACTTTATACATATACAGTGAGAAAAGAAACAAATACAATCCCAGATGGTTCAACAGCACCTAAATAGTTCAAAAGAGCCTCCAAACGAAGAGCAATACAAACCTGGAGGTGCACCAACTGGAGAGAAATTAACAAAGGTAAGATGTTATCAAGAGTCCAAAACAGGAGCTGGAGAGATGGCTCAGAGGTTAAAAACACTTGCTCTTGTAGAGAACATGGGTTTGAATCCCAGGACCCACTTTAGGTGGCTTACAACTGGCTATAATTCCAGTACCAGCAGATCCAACTCCCTCTTTTGGCTACTGCAGGTAACATGGTATCATAAACTCATACAGGAACACACGTACACACAAAAAAAAAAAAAAGAAAAAAAGAAAAAAACCTTTAAGAGTATAAACACTGCTTAACTAAATGAGGGCAGAAATTTAAAATGTTGTTGCCAGTAGTTATTCCTTAAAATGATAAATAGATGTGCCATATGACCCAACAATTCCATTCCTAGGTGTAGGAAGCCGGTTCCTGCATTATAATGTTGCCTGAAGACACCAAGGTGTGAATTACTTCACAGGCGCTGGGTAATCTCCATTCCTTTGATCTCTGCCTATCCCGTGGCTCATTTTAGCCTGAGGAGCTGAAGCCATTCATAGGGTAATACGTCCCAGGCGGCTGGTCAGCTTTTTATAAGGGATGGTTTTCTTAATGCAATGTCTCTGCTCAGTCTCTGCTCAGTCTCCACTCTGGTAAAATGCATTAAAGCTTGTCTGCAGAAGGATCCGAGTGTCCTGCGTGTATTTCTTGCTGGCGAGGAATACAGAGCGGGCGCGGGACACCTAGGTACATACACAAAAGGACTGAATATAGGAACTCAAGTAGGTAAGCATACATTAATAGTCAACACAGAATTATTCAAAATAATAAAGCATCTTGTCTATCAACATATAATTGGGAAAATATAGTATAGTGTATACACACACACACACACACACACACACACACACATATATATATATATATATATTATTCATCTATAGAAAAGAATGAAGTTCTGGTATTTCCTATATTATGGATGAATTTTGGCAACCAGATTATCAAAGTAAGTAAGCTAAGTGAAAATATCACACTCGTTTTAAAAACAATATACAAGTCATTGGAAACAGAAAGTAGACTAGAAGTCACCAGGTGTGACGCTTGGCTTTCACTACCAACTTGATACAATCACTTGGGTAGACAGTCTCAATGAGGGATTGTCTAGATCAGATTAGCCTGTGGGCATGTCTGTGGGAGATTCTCTTGATTACCCTAACTAATGTGGATAAACCCAGCCTGAATGTGGGCAGCACTACTCTCTGGCTTTGGGCCCCTGACTTTAGAAAGGCAGAGAAAACTAGCTATGTACTAAGTGTAAGCATGCATCTCTCTGTGTGTGTTCTTGACTGTGATGTAATGTGACTAGCTGTTCTCTTTCCCGTTGCCTTGACTTCCCTGCTATGATATACTGTAACCCGGATTGCTAGCTAAAATAAATCCTTTCTCCCTGCTTTTTTTTTTCCAGCTATCTATCACAGAAAAGAAACTAGAACACCAAGAGGATTAGAGGAAGGAAGAATGGTGAGTTATTATTTAATGGTATAGGACTCTGAGATAACTCAAGTAAGGTAGAAAGAGTTCCATTTTGCTGATGGTTTCAGAGGTTTTAGCTCAAGATTAGCTGTCTCCCTTTGCTTTCTGACCTGTGGAAAGATTAATTATCTTGGCAGAGAGTGCATGTGGAGGAGCCTGATTCATCTCATAGAGGCACAGGACCAAAGAGAGAGGAGACAGTGCCAGAGTACCCACTTCCCTTCAGTGGCATATCCCCAATGAGCCAACTTCTTCCCACAGGTACCTCCTACAGCTTCCAGCACCTCCAAAAGTGCCATGGCCTGGAGAACAAACCCTCAGCGTGTGGGCCTTTAGGGACCTACAAGATCCAAGCTATGGAATGGAAAAAGAGTTTTTGTTTGGAGTTGTGCAAAAGTTTTGGAAATCGGTAATAATAGTAACTAAAGATTGTGAATGTAACTAAAGCCACTTAATTTGACACATAACACACACACACACACACACACACACACACATACCTAACAAAACCTCGACCCCAAAATAGGTGAAAATTTTTTTCTGTGTTGTTATTTTTGGGGTTTTGTTTGTTTTGTTTTTGGAGACAAGGTCTCCTTAGTACAGGCTGGTCTTGAACTTATGGTCCTCCTGTTTCAGCCTCCTCTGTACTTGGGATAACAGGCTAACACCATCATATGCAGTTTCTCATCTATTTGAAAGGGGCCATTGCAGGACACTAGGAATTAAAGCAAGGAGCTTGGTAAAGGTTCTAGAGGAAGCCAAAATCACAGACTGGCTGCCAGCAGCACAAAAACAGCCTGGAAACAGACAAACCTAAAGTGCCCAGCAGCTCCCTTTGTCAGTGTCGCCAACCACAGCACTAGTTCCAAAACTTTCCATCTTCTAAGGGGAGGTCCTTGGCCTTGTAACATTTAATTTTAACCATATTTTATTTACACACACACACACACACACACACACACACACACACACATCCTTTTCATAGTTTCCCCCACTGATGACATCTGGCAAGTGTCTTACCATGGAGTGACACTGATAGGGAAGCAAAGAATTCATCCCTCAACACAAAGATTGTTTTTATAGTCAGCCATTTCCCCTCCTAAATCTTGGCAACTACTACTCTGATTCCCCATCCCTGTAATTTGCTCTTTCGGGAAACAGAATCATGAAGTTCATAACTTTTGGGGATTGGCTGCTCTTACTGTGGGATACTCCCAGCCAACTGGAGCTGAGTGTATTCACAACTCATTCCTTTTTTGATTGCCTAGTAGTACACTGTGGGCGTTTTGTTTTGTTTTACCCGGATATATGTAGTGGCTGTGTATGATTATGTACAAGGCAGGAGAGCGCCTCTACCCTTCTTCCAGAACCGGCTTCCTGCCAGTCTCCAATCAGCTAGGAGCCAAACTGGTACTGCCCACAACCAATGGAGTCCAGCGCTAGCAGGTAACAGGTCAGGGACAGGGAGACTTGGGGAGGCAAAATAGAAGTCCACTGATCCCGCTTGTGGGTGGGCAATTATTGCCCATAGGCGCGGGAGGACAGTGTGAGGGCGGGTGAGGGGCGGAGCCCAGCGGGGGAAGCCGCCCTGCGTCCCAGTGCGCAGCCGTAGTGCCTGCCGGCTAGCTTTAGGCGTTCGTGCCCTGAAAAGCGGAGGTGTCTCATTGTGCGCTACGCTCCCTCCTGGAGGCCGAGGTGAGAGTCAGTTTACTGCTTCCCAAGGGCTAGCACCTCCTTCCTGCAAGCGACTTTAGGGATTGGGGGAATGGGACGGAAGATACCCCTTCTGGTTTTTAGCTTGCGAATTAGACCGTGAACTCATGTCCCTGAGGTTCCCTGTACCTTGAGCCTTTCTTAAAGTATCAGTAGACCGTACCACATTTGACCCATGTCCTGCTTAACAGAACGGTTGAGTTTGTCAGCCCACTTCTGGATAAAGAACAGCTGCGGGTTTGCTATTTATTACCAAAGGGTAAAAGTCAAAGCGGAGCCGAGAACCGAGTTTGTTCCCACTGCCTTCCCTTAACCCTGGCGCCTTCAAGCAGCTGCGGCTCACTCTACCTTCAAAGACTCTGGCTCAAAAGAAATATACCTTCTGGAACTACTAATGTGAAATTAGCAGTTTCGGTAACCTCTTATCTCTGGAAATCTCGGAGAGATACAGAAAACTGAACGCGTATGGATCACAGAAACCTCTAGTAGAGTCAAGTACAATAGGTATGGGGGGGTTGAGAAGATAACTTAAGTGAGCACAGAAGGCATGCGGAGATGATATCGCTGCAGGATGACATGCTAACTTAGAATGACCGCCATAGAGTCTGCCTGTGTGGAAGAACGGGGCATAGTAAATGATACAGTGAAAATATCAAAATAGCTGCTGGGTGTTTATCTCTAAATATCAGAGCTCATTTCATGTGGCTTGTCCCTTAACAACCACAGCCTCCCACCAAAGACAAAACACCTTGGATAAGTTGTAGTTTCCACCTAAGGAGAGCTATCGATCATCTCTGTGCCTGAGGGTGAACAGCCCTGTCAGGAGACTTTCTGTTCCTTCCCATTCCTTATTCTAGGAGAGTTGAGTAAGAGGAAATTCAACTCTGATGCACACACCGCCCTCCATTTACTGTAAGTGTGTAGACTGGGCTGAGTGGTACAGCTAGGGGTGGTGAAGCGAGGGGAGGCTGAAGAGACGGTATACTGTGCCTAGGGAGCTGCAGTGAAGCCCCAACTAAGGTGGCTCTGGTCCCTCATTTGGGGAATCTCAGGATGAATTTTGTTCATCTGCAGTGGCCCTGGGAACCTCTGAAAAAGTGGACCAGGCCATGGGGCTTTCTGCCTAAGGTCTTCTGTTATTCTTAGGAAAAATCTTTACCCTGCCCTATTTACTTGGTTATTCCCCATCCTGCTTCTTGGCTGCAACCCTCACTTCAAACCACAGCTCAGCTAAATAACCTTTCTTGATGTTTCTGGAACTCTCCAATTCAGCTCCCATTGGGTCCTTACTTGATTGCCTGCCTGCCTGCTTGGACTCTCTCTTGATCCAGGTTTCTGCATGGCTGGCTCAATATCACCATTTATTCACCGTCTCTCTTCTGACACCCCAGAGGAAATGTGGGCTTGTGGTGTCTATGTAATGTTTAGTGACTTTGAGATACGAGAAAGTCTCTGATCAGTGCTCTGCCAGAGATGAAGCTTTTGATCTGCTCTCTAAACTTGCAGTGTAAACCTCGGGAGGAACTTTGACCTCCTTCTCTAACCCTTCTAGTCTTAAGGCATATCCATGTCACAAGGCTCTAACCCTTCTAGTCTTAAGGCATATCCATGTCACAAGGCATTAAAAGGAGGGGAACCCTTAGCACCTTCAGCTCACAAGATTTTAACTTGCAAATAGCATTCATCAGAATAGCATTCATCAGAACAGAAAATACTTGGCACTGACTTCTCAGGAGGTCAAGGTCAATTCTGACTTTTAAAAGGTGAGACTGTACCCTGGGGAAGATTTCACCCAGCATGGAGCTTTCCACCTGTTGACCCAGCATAACCCTTGGTATCTTCCAAAATCCCTCAGCACCTAGCACACCACCACTATCATCAAATGAGGGTTTAAGACAAAAAACTCATCTCCATTTTCCTCAAAGGTTATGCTTGAAAAAAAATAAATCCACTTTCTCCCACCAGTCTTATAGAGCAGCATGTAATATGAGCATGGTGATACTGATTGGGTGTGTATTTAATGTGACAAACATCTTTCATCGAAATAAAGTGTTTCTTCAGGGTATCACTACTGCCACGGTCACTAGTACTTTCCACTGTCTGGGCTCTGTGCTTGCTTTGCCTACTTGTTGACTGTTCACTGTCTTTCCACTACCAAAGAGTATATGTAAAGCTCATTTCTCATTTGTGATGCTCACTTCTGTGTCTCAGCACCTCATTCAGTATCACACCAGATAGCTGCTTCACCATCCGGTTATTGTGAATAAAGCTTCGATGGACATGCAGGAACAAGCGGGTCTGTCTCAAAATCCTGTGTTTCAATACCTTTCAAGTAGTGAGTAGTCAGGGATGATCCTGAACTCCTAATCTAGGATTACTGGCATATTCTACCACACCCCAAAACCTGTTCAGATCCTACTTTGATTCTTTTGAGCAGATAATCAGAAGTGAAACGAACATAGTGATTTCCTATTTAGTTTTTAAGGAGCCTCTTAGTTGCCTTTCATAGAAGCTGCACCGTTTTACACCTTACCAACACTGAAACAGTTTCTTTACCTGACACCAAATCTTGCTCTTTTGATTTTAGCCATAATATTACCTTAATGACTAATATACCTTTCCACATGCTTATTAAGTGCCTTTGTATAACTTTGGGGAGAAGTTTGGTCTTTACCCATTTCTGAGTTGGCTTATTTGGTTTTTCACTTTTATCTGAGTGTTTTGTTTTTTTCCTGGCAAGAGCAGGTAATATCATATGTTAATTACTTTTTTGTTGCTGTGATAAAATACCATGACCAAAGGTGACTTGTAGAACACAGAGTCTCTTTTGACTGATGGTCTCAGAGGAATAAGAGTCTCTCCTGACAAGGAAGCATGGCAGCAAACAGCAGGCATGGTGACAGGAGCAGGGACCTGAGAGTTTACATCTTCAGTCACAAGCAGGAAGCAAAGAGAGTTACCCAGAAGTGGGGCGACCTATATAATCTCAAAGCCTGCCCCTAGTATTACACTCCTCTAGCAAGGCTGCACCTCCCCATAACCCCTCCCAACAGCATCACCCAATGGAAACCAAATGTTCAAATACCAGAGTCTAAGGGGGTACATTTCTCATTCAAACCAGTATATCCTGCCTCCAGAAAGTTGTTTTGGAGATGACCAGCCAAGAGAGTGAGGACACAAACCTCCTTGTCTTTGGGGCCCATTGGGGAGAACATTTTATCCAAAATCTATCACTGAATTGGGTGTGCTAGAGATTAAACTCCAGCCTTGCACTTGCTAAGCACAGGTTGTACCACTGATCTCCACCCAGTGTCCCCTAGAATCATTTTATATTATAGCCACCATATATTTGTCCCATCTTTCTTACTTTTCTGGGCCACCCTGTGACTCTAGATGGAAGACTGAGGCACCCAACTGGCCTTATTTATAGTGGAGAAAAAGGCCCAGTAATGCACAGTGACACTCCCTTGATTTCCCCAGTGTCCTTCATCTTATCAGTCTAACTAAAAAGGAAATCTTAGAATGCAGGAAGACTGGCTGAGGAGGCACCACTCAATTTTTTTATCTGTGGTTCATTTCCCAGGAGTTCTTCTATAGCTACCTGCATGGAAAGTTCAAGTCCTTCAGGAAAACACTGGCTTGGCATTGTGTGTGGTTTATACCATGAAGCTCACTTCTCTAGAGGCTGCCTTGCCCTCTGACAAGCTTTTATTCAGATGTGTTTGTGAAGCAGGCACTGTGAGGCCTACACTTGTTATCCTGACTTCAGCTCTATCTTCCATTCCTCCCGAGTTTACTTTCTCTTCCAGAGTGTTACAATAAGAAGAGTGATAGTACCTGAAACTTTGGGCTACTGTATCAAATCAGAGAATCCGTCTCCTCCAACATGGCAGGTAAATGACCTGATATGGGGGTATGACACATTTAGCCAGAAATTGTACCATTTGTTATTAAAAAATTCCAAGCAACACAGATGTGTATATGAACCTTCTTGGATGACGTGGATCACTGTGTGTAATTATTTTCTTTCATATTTTTTACTTTGTTCATTTCAACCTTCTCCAAAAAAATTGGAGCACATGCCTATCCTTTTTTTGTTCAGAAACCATCCCTGGAACAAAAAAGTTCTCAAAAAGGGGGGAACTGAGGAAATGGGCTTCTATTTTAGACCAAGGTTTGATCCCATCATTACCTTTCCCTCCTTTTACAGTACTGGGGACCAAACTCAGCAACACATGTTCAACCACTGAGCCACACCTCCAGTGCATATATATATACATATATACATATATATATATATATATATATATATATATATATATATATATATATATATATATGTGTGTGTGTGTGTGTGTACATATATATCAGGGATACATACATAATTTTACAACTCATTTTTACTCAAATATATAACATTATAATTCTTTAACTTTAAATATGTAGATTTATTTCACTGCCATGTTATAGTGTAGACCTGAGCTTTTCCTTTGCTTTTACAATATTTGTTTATACATGTCAGAAAAGTACTAGTGTGCTATTTTATCCCTTGTACCTAGCTTTGGAGTTTTCACCCTTGGTACTACTGATGTTTGAGACCAGATCAGTTGTGGGGGTGCCATCCTATAGCATATTTAGCACTGTCTCTGGGCTGTACCCATTAGATGCCAGAAGCATCCTCTACCACCAGTGATAACAATTAGAAACGTCTCCACTTTTGACAGTTGTGTCTGTGACTGATAACACTGCCCCTAATTGAGAAACACTGACTTCATTTATACTCATTCATTTATACTCATTCTCTTAGCAAGCCCTCAAAGTACAGTTCCTTTATAGCATTGGAGCATTAGAAAGTGAATGGAAATCTAATAATCAATCCAACACATGCAATTCAACCTTCACACTCAGATGAATGCCCTGAAACTGCTTCAAGCTATGTTTTCTATTCTGGAGCCTAGACTCGGAAGTTCAAATCAAGAGTTTAACATCTTAGTTCCAAAGAGATTGTCAGTAAAGTGCTTGCCAAGCACACATGAGACCTGAGTTCATATTCCCAGCACCCACACAAAAGCCAGGACAGGAGCATTCATCTGTAACCCCAGCATGCAGACAGGGGCATTCTAGAGCTCTGTCCAGCCAGTCTAGCCAAATTGGTTCAATGAGAGACTATCTCAAAATGTAAGGAAAAAAGCCACTGAAGAAGACATATTCATGTGAACACAGGTGTACTTACATTCACATGCACCCACACACACACAAGAGTTTTACTCTGTGTGTGTGTGTGTGTGTGTGTGTGTGTGTGTGTGTGTGTGTGTGCCTATGTAGATGCACTTACATGTGTGGGAACATGAAAAGGCCAAAGGCTGACACTGGATATCTTTCTCACTTATTTTTCTACCTGATTTTTAAAAAATATTATTTATATGTGTATTTGCATGTATGTCTGTATATACCACATGTATGTTTTGCACAGTTACAGATGGTTGTGAGCTGCCATGTAGGTGTTGAGAATTGAACCCAGGTCCTCTGGAAGAACAGCCACTGAGCCATCTCTCCAGCCCCCTCAACCTTATTTTTAAATACAGGGTCTTTAATGGGATCTGCAACACACTGACCTACACTGGCTAGCCAGTGAGCTCCCAGTATTCTCCCCTCTCTATCCCCACTAAGTACTAGGGCCATCAACATGTGCTGACACCCTTGGCTTTTTGGGTGGGTGCTACAATCCAAATTCAGGTCCTCATGCTTATTCATGTTAGGAACAGTGCCTTCATAACTTGCTCTTGGAATCTTCTCTCGGTATCGCCACCAAAAGAGAGGTTCCACATGTCTCCTCTGTCTCTTTCATAAAACCAGGGTCTAGTTCATCCTATTTCATTTGTCGGGTGTCCATGGACCTGAAGAAGATGGAAGCAGAATACACCAGTCTGAAGGTTGCCATTATTGCTGCCTGCTGATGTAGGCACAAGAGATTAATTCCTTTTATTTTTGTTTTGTTTTCTGTTATACAGAAAGGCTAAAAGTTGTCATAAAGGCAATCCAAAATAGAACAGGCTTTTAAAGATTTTAGTTGTATGTTTTCTAAGGGGACACATAGTCTAGTTCATTGTATTTATGAGTAAAGGTTAACTATCTTCAAAGTTCTGAGGATATGATTACCAAGTCTCCAGAATCAAAAAGATTGATTCTTGAGCGTTTTTAATTTTGAATTTTAAAGTTTGGAATGTCTGACTTATAAAGGCTATACAAATATTTCAAAGTCTGAAAAAAAGCCAAATTCCAAATCATTTCTGGTCCTAAGCATTTAAAAAATAGGAGCTACTCAATTTGTATTAGTAAGCCCAAGTTACAGTGCACTGTAATAGCATCAAAATAGTCATTATTTTATCACTCACTAAAAAGGTTGATGATTCCTTTGGTTCAATGCAGTGGTGTACCTATACATCACTTCACCCTAGTCTTCACTGAGTTTTGAAAAAAAAAAAAGATGTGCTCTTCAAAAAAATCTCTTCCCTTGATACAGGTAAGAAAGTGCTCATCGTCTATGCACACCAAGAACCCATGTCCTTCAACGGGTCCCTGAAGAAAGTGGCTGTTGAAGAACTGAGCAAGCAGGGATGTACAGTCACTGTGTCTGACTTATATGCCATGAACTTTGAGCCAAGGGCCACAAGAAATGACATCACTGGTAAGTCCGTGGGGTGAATCATCTGTCTTAAAATTATGTTTTATAATTTTTAAAATGTCAACAATACTTAACTATTGCCCTGTAACCTCAAGTCTCAGGTCAAAAGAGTACTTGGTGCCAGTCTCTCATCCCTGTCTCACAACAACCCAATTCCTCTGCTCCCAAGGTAGTGAGGTTTCTTTTAAAAGAAAGATTATTCTATTTTAATTGTGTGTATGTCTATGTGAGGGTAGGCGCATATGCATGTGGTTGTCTGTAGAGGCCAGAAGTGAGTATTGGATACCCTGGTGCTAGAGTTAGAGGCAGTTGTGAGCCTCTGGACATTGTTCTAGGACTTGAATGCAAGTCCTTTACAAAAGTAGTATTGCTACCTCGTCAACCCTGTTTTCTGTATTTTCAGAGATATCTGTGCTATGAGGGTTGCATTAGTAGCTTCCTCACCACTCACAGAACACTTAACCAACTTGAGAAGAGATTTATATGGGCTTGCAGTTCTATTACAGTAGCTGGATCAATTTGGATCATTGCTGCAATGGCTTTTACATATCTGGAAACCTAGGCACAATGAAACTAATTCTGGGGAAACAGCTTCCTAGGATTTTCGAGTTTTCCATAAGATCAGACTGTATGCAAGCCTATAGGGCATTATCTTAATTAGTGATTTAGAGGCAGGCATGGTACTGGAGAAGTAGCTCAAACTACATCCTGGTTTGTAGGCAGGGAAAGAGACACTGAATCTGTTGTAGGCTTTTGAAACCTCAATGTCCACCCCCAGTGACACAATTCTTCCAACAGGGCCACATCTCTTAATCTTTCCCAGACTACCAACTGATAACTAAGCATTCAAATATATGAGCAGATGGTGACCAATCTCTTTCAAACCACTATATTAGGGCAACTGATAGTCAGCTACAGCTGAGCAATTAAGCAGTAATTAAGAAAAAAACTAGCATCATTGAGGTGAAATCTGGGAAGTGTTTCCTGAGAGTCAGCACACAGAATAATATATGTCTATATCCATCTATCTGTATCTGTCTATCTATCTTTCTATCTACCTACCTATCTATATAAAATTTATCTAGGTCAATGTCACTTACTAGTGGTTATAATTGTTTTTACTTTAGCTTTCCATAAAGTCTTTTAAGTCAGCATTCCAGATCAAAAAAGAACTCTGATGATACTTTTGTTGAGGGTTCCATTAAGTATATAGGTGAAACTTAGGAAGAATTCACCTTCTGTGATGCTGTCTCTCACTCTCCAAGAGAATGATGGACCTTTCATTTTCTCTGCATTCCCTCCGTCCTTTCCCTTTTCTTAGGTCAATTGAGATGTTTTATCATATGGATTTTGACAGGTGTATACTTAGGCAACCCTAACTACCCCCCCCATTTTTTGTTTGTTTGTTTTGAGACAGGTTTTCTCGGTGTAACAGCCCTGGCTGTCCTGGAACTTTCTATGTAAACCAGGCTGGCCTTGAACTCAGAGATCCACCTGCCTCTGTCTCCCCAGCGCTGGGATCAAGGATGTACACCACCACTGCCCAGCTCTAACTTTCTTATTGTTCGTAATGCTTTAATTGATTCTATGGGGCTCTCCAGATATGTAAACAACTATCCTAATAATATTTTGACCTCATTTTCCCCAGTATCTAATACCCCTAATTTGAAGGTGCTCATTGTCTATGCACTTGGAGTTGTATAGAGTACACCTCCAGATACAGTCTGTAATATTCATCATGATCTTTCTTTTTTTATATGTATGTGTATGTGTGTTTACTTGATTGCCTATATGTATACCACATGCATGCAGATGCCTCAGGAGGCTGGAAGAGGGTATCAGAACTCCTGGATTTGGAGTTACAGGAGGTTATGACCTGTCTTATGTGGGTGCTGAAAGCCAAATCCCAATCCTCTTCAAGAGCACCAAGTGCTCTCCGCCAGTGAGACATCTCCCCCCCCCCCCTTTTAAATACATCATTTCAGTCTGGGGATATACCACAATAGTCAAATGCTTGATAAGCATGTGCAAAGCCAGTACTATTTTCTCTTAATAAATGGCAGTACAGGGACTAAGAAAATAGAAAGTAGGATAAGGAGTAATAATTTTTTTTGTTTTTGTTTTTTGAGACAGGGTTTCTCTGTAGGTTTGGAGACTGTCCTGGAACTCTCTTTGAAGACTAGGCTGGCCTCGGACTCACAGAGATCCGCCTGCCTCTGCCTTCCAAGTGCTGGCATTAAAGGCGTGTGCCACCACCACCCAGCGGAATAATAATTTTTAAGCTAATAAAGTAATACATATTTCATGCCAAAAATTTAAATAAGATTAAAAGTGTAAACAAATACTACGCCATTTTATATCCACCTACCAACTTTATTATGTGTAGGAAGTGTCAGAACCGGGGCCCTTGGATACTGAAGGAATACTGTAAGTGCAGAGGACCTAGGTGGATTTGGGCTGCATGTAATGTGGTGGCCACACCCCATCTGATAACCTCTCCAGTACATCCTAGCCTCTTCCTTATAGTAATTAAGGTCTAAAGGTCCCTGGAAATCACAGAAAAATACAATGCAAAGAAATGCATTTTTCTCAGTTATGAAAATATTGAAGGACTGACCTACTTTCCATTGAGATTCTTCTCAGAGGTCTTAAGTTTACACCTCTAGTCTTGATGCTATGCAGTGGGGTCAGTGGGGTCACATCTGAGTCTTAGGCCACCCTACCTGCAGGGCCACTTCTACTACTTAGAACTCATATGGCACTAATACTTAGCTTCTCACAAGTCTTGGCCTTCTCTCTACTAACTCAGAAATTACAGTGATCTCATGGGTTGTGAGGAGGATATGCAAAGTGACCAGTACAGAGCACAGCTCCTGGCAGATGGGAAGCCCTCTATCAATATGGTTCTCCCAGCCTTCTCTGTCCTTAGCCTGGTCTCAAGGCTGAGCTTCTGGTCACATCACAGCAGATCCCCAATGTTTTGTGAGGCCAGACCACATAGCAGTTTTTGGAAGGCTGAGGCAAGCTGGACTGAGAAATTGACCTCTTCCTTCCTAGGTTCCCTCTCTAATCCTGAAGTCTTCAGATATGGGATAGAAGCCTATGAAGCCTACAAGAAGACAGCTCTGACCAGTGACATACTTGAGGAGCAGAAGAAGGTGCAAGAAGCTGATCTAGTGATATTTCAGGTTTGTTGTTTCCTCATATTAATGAGTAGATTCATCCTATGAACAAACTCTTGAACATTACATTTGGAACTAGTGGGTCTTTTTTTTTTTTTTTTTTTGCACATGTACATGATTACTTGAAATACCTTTCTTACTTACAACTCTAGTTAGAATACTTTCCTACTTTGATAAAGAAATCTTTATAGTCAATGTTACTCAAAACCCTGACTCCCCAGGTCAGTATGAATCAAGAACATACCCATTGGCCCAGTAGTTCCAGAAGCATCTGAATCATGCCAGTCTTCCTGCTTTCATCCTCCCAAAGCCCCTGTCTCAGACACGCCAGCTAGCTGGGAACCAGATTTTTCTGCACAACTGTTTTATCAAGGCAGTTTAGGTCAACTCCTGACCATTAACAGGACAACCTTCCTGTTTCCATCCTCGCTAGTTACTAAATACACGTTACTGAGCGTGAACACACACACACACACACACACACACACACACACACACACACACACACACACACACACACAACAGATTGTTGTATATTTCTTAAGAAGGTGAAGCCACTACAGAAGGAACTAGCCCTATAGACTGACTTCCAGAAGCACTAACTCAATCTGGCCACTCCTGCCAGCAGTAGACAGGATGCAGTTAACAAGTATCCATAATCTGGGCAGTCAGTTAAGTGTGTGATTCTAAAGAGTTGTTGCAGTGAGAGAAATCCAAGTCAAACTCAACAGGAAGTGGGGCTAAGTATTTAAGGGCTTGTAATGATATTTTGTTTGTGATCTAACAAATAAAGCTTGTCTGAAGATCAGAGTGCAAAGCTAGCCACACTAGTTAGCCATAGAAGCCAGGCAGTGGTGGCATACACCTTAATTCCCAGCACTCAAGAGACAGAGGCACACAGATCTCTGTTAATTCAAGGCCACCCTGAGCTACACAAAATTGATCCAGTCTAAAAGAGAAACAGAGCTCACATGAAGGTGATCTCAGCACTTGGGATCCCATACCTTTAATCCCAGCAGTAGAGAGGAATATAAGGCAGGAGGAGACAGGAGCTCAGTGCAGTCTGAGGCAATCTGAGGAGCACGCCCCTTCGCCCCTTTGGTCTGAGCATTGGTAGAGGTGAGAACTCTCTAGTGGCTGGCTGCTTTGCTTCTCTGATCTTCAACTTTAGCCTCAATATCTGTCTCTGAGTTTTTATTATTGGTGCTACAAGGACCCTGATCACTTGAGTCCTCTGAGCAAGAATGACAATGGCAGCACATCTGGAGTGCTCTGCTTTCCCCAGATTTCCATCCTGCAAGGACTTCACTGTTTTTACTTCATTTCTTAGTTTGGGTTACTATTGTTGTGATGAAACACCATGACCAAAAGCCTAGTTGGGGAGTAAAGGGTTTCTTTGGCTCACACCACGGAAGGAAGCCAGGCAGGAACTCAAATACAGTGAGAATCTGGAGGCAGGAAATGATGCAGAGGCCATGTTGCTTCCTGGCTTGCTCTGCCTGCTTTCTTAAAGAACCCAGGACCACCTGCCCAGGGGTAGCACCACCCACAATGGACTGAGCCCTCACACATCAGTCACTAATTAAAAAACAAAACCTACAGGTTTGCCTTTAGCATGATCTTATGGAGACATTTTCTTAATTGTCTCCCTCCTCTCAGATGACTTTAGCTTGTGTCAAATTGACATAAAACTACCCAGCACACCACCTTGTCACTGCCTACTCTCTGGCTAGCATAAGGAATTGTCATCAGGAGACAGTTACCAGAATAGCAACTGAACCACAGTCAGCTCTACCCTTCACCCCACTGTTGTGCCCATGTTGTGCCCCACTGAGCTGATCCTATAGGTTTCCTTTGCCTGCTGGGTGCCCTGGGAGGAGAGGTCCATGGGACTAAAGTATGAATCCTGAGACAGCATAGTTTGTTTCTGCTTGTTGTTCCATCCCCAGTTCCCACTATATTGGTTCAGCGTGCCAGCAATTCTAAAAGGCTGGATGGATAGGGTGCTGTGCCAAGGGTTTGCCTTCGACATCCCAGGCTTTTATGACTCCGGTTTGCTCAAGGTATGTTCTCTGGGGATAAGGATCACTACAGATCCTTCCAGTGGGAGGAAGGTGAGAGCATCTATCAACTTATATTTATAGTTTGCATTTTTTGTATTAGGTAAGTAAATATTCATTAAGCACTTAATGTATGCACAGCACACTTCATAGATGATAAGTGCATCCTTTTCTAATTTATAGAGCTTTTTGATAGTGGGGGATATACATCTACACTAGTCTACACATAGGCAAAGGAGATATGGGGCTGGGTACTGGGCAAAAGTGAAATGGATAATGACATGGATAGTACCATTTTCAGCCCCAGACTCAAGGTACTGACTCTGTGATGGTCTGACTGATCTTATGATAGTTTACACTTTAGGGCTCCACATGCCCACCCTGGGTTAGGGGATAATCACACACCTTCTATATTTTAGGAGAGGGGTTGTGAAACCTGGTATGTACCATGCATATTATCTGTAAATGTCTTACTGAGAGAACTTTAAATTCTAAAAGTTTCAAAAATGAAATGTATATAAGGGAAATGAATCAAGTAACCAAGATACTGACCTTCATTGTATGGTCATCCTGTGTGAGCTTCACTCGCCTTCCTATCAGCCCTGACCATGGTCAGTAACTTGGTTCTTGTGGGGTCTGTGAAACCTAGTTCCCTCCAGAAGTCTTACATGTTAGAAGTTTGATATTCACTTGTCCCTTTGCTGCCTGCTCTGTTCCCATCCCTGACAGGACATTAGCTGTCACCTTTAGATGGATCTGAGAGACATGGGGGTGTTACATTTGTCTATCCTGAAAGGAACCTGACTTCTGACGCCCTTCTGACCGTCATAAACCACTGTACAACATGACAGGAGCACTGTTTCCTCTTCTGACAGTCATATGATGTGTTTACTTTCTCCCCTGCCTGCAGGGTAAATTAGCCCTCCTTTCCTTAACCACTGGAGGTACAGCTGAGATGTACACAAAAACTGGGGTCAGTGGAGATTTCCGGTACTTCCTATGGCCACTCCAGGTAAACAGACCTTGCAAGCCTTCTCTGCTTTGCTGGTGCACTGGGCTCCCCTGCTTCCCACTACACCTTACACACACATACACCTTGAAAGCTTGACACTTCATTTGACTCTCAAGTAGACAGAGAAAATAATAACATTTTATCCTTATTTTATTTTTTAAGTTGGTAGCAGTTTAAAGGCTGGCTAAGAGGAAAGACATACAACTTTTGATAATGCTTGACCCAAAGTTAAGCCAGACCTGATTAGTCTGCTGTATGCTTTATGAGGATTGTGATAGCCCTGAGGTGGCACCAGGTATGTGGGTATGAGTGATGAGAGACACCAAAGCCCGGAGAGCCCTCCCCAGACTTACAATGCTCTATGAAGTTAGTACCACCCTTAGCCTTGGTTAGAGGTACTACAGCCCTGTGACCTGGATGGCTTTACCTGGGGCCTCTGGACACCCTGGACAGATGAATGCCTAAAGAATAGTCATCTACTGAGGAGAAAGGCAATGGCAGAGTGAGTTCCAGCAAGCTAGGATGTCCATGTGCATGGAACTCCTTAGTGAGGGGACGAGAACAAGAGGCAGACTGCAGAGCGAGGAGAGCTCTGCAGGTCTTAGGAGACCTTGAGAGCTAAATGGATGTGCTTTCATTTGGTGAGGAGAGATACCTGTTTAGGTTCGAGAAAGGCTTGTACTTAGTAGCTGGAGTGATTGCTTTTGTGAATGTAGACATTATGGACGAAGACACAGGTATAAGAGTGTGGTAGAGTAAGTGCTGAGTGTACACAAAACCTTGAGTTTGAGCCCCAACTCCCTATAAGCTAGTTGTGGTAGTGCATACCCATAATTACCACTTGGGAGGTGGAGGCAGGAGGAACAGAAGTTCAAAGTCATCTTCAGCTACACAACAAGTTTGAAGCCTGCCTGAGGTATAGGAGTCCTTCTCTCAAAATAATAAATAAGAATTAGGAATTGTCCCTTTTCTTTCTGGGTTCACATTTCCTACTCCACATTTCTGCTGAGACATTGGAAATTTTTAACTGATTTGTCAGCTCTCTCTATTAGTGAAATTATCCTATTGTACCTTTTGAAAACAGTAAGAGTTTCCTTTATACAGATAACATATTGTTAAGTTCACTTCTTGCCTTTGTTGTTTGCTCTTGTGTGTGTTATAGACATGTATATATGTGTGTGGATGCACTTGCCAGTGCATGCATGTGTGAATGCTACAGGCCCATTTAAGTATCTTCCTTGATCACTTTCCACCTTATTTTTTTGAGAACACATCTCACTGATTCTGGTGCTTGCCTATTTGGCTAGACTGGGATCTGCCTATCTTTGTCCCTCTCCCCACATATACTGGGGTTACAGATCCATGTTGCCACACCCAGCTTTTTAAAATGATTGCTAGAGTTCAGAACTCAGGGCCTTATCCTTGCACAGCAAGCATTTAACCATCTGAGCTGTCTCCCTAGCCATTTTAAATTCAATCATCTAAAAGTTTTTTATTTGTGAAGGCTACTGGCTTTTCTCTCTTTTTTTCACCCAGTCCATTTGCTGGGTTCTCCTACTGATGATAATTGATGTTTTACATTTTTATTTAATTTTTAAAACTACATTATTTGTTATAGCAGAGGAGAACATGTCCATGCCACAGCATCCACATGGAGACCAGAGAACAAGTTTCGGGAGTTGGTTCTCTCCTTCTACCGTGTGGGTACTAAGGGTCAAACTTAGGTCATCAGGCTTGGTAGCCTGTGCCCTTAGCCACTGAGACATCCCACCAACCCCATAAATTACTTTTTAAAAAAGATTTATTTTTATGTGTTAGAGATATTTGCCTGCATACATGTATGTACATCACATATGTGCAGTGCCCAGAGGGTGGAGAAGGATACTTGAACCTCCGGGACTGGAGTTAGAGACAGTTGTGAATTACTATGTGGGTGCTAGTAGCCAAACTCTGGTTACCAGCAGGAACAGCAAGTGCTCTTAACTGCTGAGCTATTTCTTCAGCCCCCAATAGTGGATTTTTAAGAGCTGATTTCCAGGAAATAAAATCATGTCATCTGGGTGAATGTAATATAAAAACATGCTTTTTGTCCTCTAACTTCACCTGATAGGGAACACTTGGATAAGGGTGTATGTTGTGAAGAGCATAGTGCAGAAGACCAAGTGTGACATTTCTAGGAAGAAGCTAGGCTCTTTTTGAAAGATGATTACAATTGGTGGATTAGTGCTGCTCCATTAAGGGCAATTACAAGTTGTGAGCCTCCTTCTCTGAAGGCTAGCCGTTCTCATACATGTCACCGACTAAGCTTAAATCTTGTTTTAAAAATATGTACTTTACCCCAGTTTATAACAACATATAGTGGAAGGAAAGGTAAACAATATAAAAAAATTTTAAAGTCCACTTAATCTACACCTCCAGAAAGAATTACTTGTTATTTATTTCCTAATGGCCTAGATAGATCCTTACATTTTTTTAAAAAAAGGTTTACTAGATTATTAATGTTGTACATAAATGGTATACAAGAAATACTGCTTATAATTACTGATTAATGAGTATAGTCAACAACTTTCTACAGCAGTACATCATAGCTAAATAACCTCTCTGAACATAGCATTGAAGGTGGTAGAATTTGCCAAATCCATCAAAACTGTAATGTTTAGTGATGGACTCATTAGTAAAGATCTATCCTGCAGCTATCCAGAGATGGGTTGTTTTCAGTTAACTTTGTAGCATTTGTTTCATTATTTTTGAAGGCTTCTTCACATCATCTCCCCTTACTGATTTATCTGAGTGTACATAAAGAGAGTGGTTATGATTAGTTCTTTCCTTTCTGTCTTCAGCATGGTACATTGCACTTCTGTGGATTTAAAGTCCTTGCCCCACAGATCAGTTTTGGTATTGATGTTTCATCAGAAGAAGAAAGAAAAGTGATGGTGGCATCATGGGCGAAGCGGCTGAAGAGCATCTGGAAGGAAGAGCCTATCCTCTGTACACCCCCTTGGTACTTCCAAGAGTAACACTTTGTGCTCTGAGTACAGCAAATTAGCAGCATGGTGAGAGACCTAAAGCATGTACAAAGAGCAGGTGGTGCTGTATCCAGAGATGCAGTGAATATGTCCACAAATGAGTGTTTTCAGTTTCATGCAACTAGATCAGATATTTCAACAAACATCTTGGTGCACTGTATTTGTTCTGCCTGGTCATTATTCACTCACTCATTTTTCATTTCTTTAATGTTTCTCTAAAATCTCTCTTGCTACTCTAAACCTTCATAGTATAGTTTCCTGAATATGGAGGTGGATTTGTTTGTTGTTTCGTTTTGTTTAACTTGTTACCCCCCCAGGAAAGATGAACCCATTTATATCTAATGTTTTAGTGATAAATTTTGATTGACTTCTGTTTTTTGTTTTTTGTTTTTTTTTTTTTGACTAGGGGGTTATTATAATGTTTTAATTGAAATAGCTCTTCTTTTTATTCTTAAGTGTATACAGTGAGGTTTTTTAAAATCATTTCAAACGTCAAAGCCTTTGATATCATTCTACCACTATTCACATAGTTTCATATGAATAACACTGAATAATGACCCTGAAAAATAGGTACAGATATATGGAGACATCTCCTACCCTCCATTGTCAGCATTACTGAAGACAAGACTGTTGCTAGCACCCAGGGCCTTTCTCCTGTAGCAGTCTCAACACCACCCTATCCCCTCATCAGATTCTTCACTAAGTTTCCTGTTAGAAATGTCCAGATGAGAGACAGAGAGACAGAGACAGAGACAGAGAGAGAGAGAGAGAGAGAGAGAGAGAGAGAGAGAGAGAGAGAGAGAGAGTTGTAATGATTTGAATGAGATGGCTCCATAAACTCATGTTTCACTACTTGGTCCCCAGTAGGTGTCACTGTTTGAGAAAGATTAAAAGATATGGCTTGTTGGATACAGTGTGTCAGTGGGGGCAGGTTTTGTGGTTTGAAAAGACTAACACCATCCCCAGTGTGCCCCCTTTGCCTCTTACTTGTGCATCAAGATGTGAACTTTCAGCTGTTCCTGCTGCCATGCCTTTGTGCTGGAACCATAAGCCTTAATTAAATGCCTTTTTTTTTTTTTTTTTTTTTTTTTTGGTTTTTCAAGACAGGGTTTCTCACAGAGATCCTGCCTCTTCCTCCTGAGTGCTGGGGTTAAAGGCGTGCACCACCAACACCTGGCCTAATTTTTTTAAAGATTTTTTTTGAGGGAAATAAGGACATGAAACTGAGGGGACAACTTTCAGGAGTCAGTTCTCTCCTTCCATTGTGTTCAGAGACTGAACTCTGGTTAGCAGGCACATTTACCTACTGAGCCATCTCACCAGCCAGTGAGTACTTTTTACCATCCCCAGGTTGTTTTTCAAATCAGTCTTCAGATTCTCCTTCTGTTGTAGTTTCCTTTCTGTGGCTATGATAAAATACTCTGACCAAAAGCAACTAAGGGAAGGAAAGGTTTGTTTTAGCTTACCACCCCAGGACATGAGACTGGACTGATAGCTCGGCATTTGCTGTTCTGCTGGGGTATGCAAGTTTAGTTTCCAGCACCCATACCAGGTGACTCACAACCACCTGTAACTAGGAGATTGATACCCTCTTCTGAGCTTCTTCAGTATTTACCCTCATGTGTGCAAACCTACACCAAGATACACACACACATATAATTTTAAAGATCTTTACAAAACAAACAACAAACAAAAACAACCACCATAGGTCATAGCCCATTGTTGAGGCAAGTCAAGGCAAGAACTCAGAGGGAAGGCAGACCTGCTAACTTATTCCTCTGATCAAGTAATTCACTTCATAGGCAAGAGGTGTAACAGGAACCATGGAGGAGGATACTTGTTAGTAGCTTACTCATAGACTTACATTCAGTGAGCTTTCTTTTTTATTTTTCTTTTTGGTTTTGTTTTCTTTTTTTGAGACAGGATCTCACTATGGCTGGCCTGGAAGAACTCTCTATGTAAACTGGTCTGGCCTCAAACTTACAGATCCACCTCCCTGTGTCTCCTGAGTGCTGTGAGTAAAGGTGAGTGGCACCATGCCCAGCTTCAGCAAGCCTTCTTACACAATTTAGGTCAACCTGCTCAGGGAATGATGCTGCCCACAGTGGGCTGGGCCCTCCATCAATTATAAATCAAGGGAAGCCCCCCTATACATGCCACAGGCCAGTCTGATCTAGGCAATTCCTCAGGTGAGGCTCTTTTCTCAGATGACTTTGGGCTGTGCCAACTTGACAGTTAAAGTTAACTAGGATACCTCTCAAGATATGTCTAGACATTTTTCAAGCCTGTCTTGGATTTTCTTGGTCCTCTTTCTGTTGGAACATGGTCAAAAAAATGATGCATGGTAAACAATGCCTTAGAGAACTATGAGAGAGGCCTCAGGAAAAAAAGCAGAGGGCCTTTCACCTCAGGTGCATCTTGTTCCGTGGACTGTTCTTGGATGTGGTTTCATGCCTCCCATGACAAACATTTATATTCACTTTCTGAGACCTGCCTACTCTTGTTGGATGCCAGAATTTAGCCATAGAACCCAATCTGGTCAGTGTGCCCTGAATCTGGATATTGCCTTCTGCCTTGCTTTCATGCTTTCCCAGTTATAATCTATAGAACATGCCAGTCAATTGTGTTTAAATTGGTGTGTCCTGAGAAAGTTCTGGGGAAGGGTTACCCTATTCATATTTAGCATGTGCTTACTGACCTTTATTTACATGTCTTTCTGATCATGTTTTTCTAAACTCAACCTTCCTTGGATCATTGCTCTTTTTGTTACATTCATGTATAAAAGTACACTGGAACTGAAGTAATGTCTATAGCCTTAGATTGTAGTCCATCCCATTCTTTTAGGTCCTCAGATCCCAGATCCAGCAGACAAGATCTACTCAGGTAGGCTGAAAAGTCAACACTTTTTAAAAGTATTGTAGTATCTAAAGTATCTTCTTCAAAATCCCTTCATCTTCTGTGTGTCCTCCAAGAATCTTTTCAGGTTCTTCAAGTGCCATTTCAGTGGTAGCTTTTTAAGTATGCATTCTGCACATGCTAGGCTGTCCAAGGAATCTCTAGAGATCCTGCTCCATATGAAGCTAAGATGCAGTGGAAATGCTGCATGTCTGTGTTGGCTCCAGTAACAGCCAATGAGTCCTCCTATCATCTCAGCCTCATGGCTGGATGGGGATTCCCAGCCACCAAGCCTCCATCAAAGGTTTGACTGCAATGACTTGCTGGCCCCACATTTCCCCAACATTTGGAAGTTGAACTTGGGCTTCTGACCAACAGCACTTTTTCAGTGGTTATTGCTCTGGTATCTCTTCTATGAGTGCAGAAACAGGCCCTAGCTTTCAATAAGGAAATTCAAGTTCAGGAGGCCAGGGGATAATAGGCAGTCCCAGGAGAAGTGCCCTAGATCTGTCTCTCTTATGCCTCAGGAATGGGTTTGGCAATTCAGAATGCCCAGTTTGCTAAATAAACTGTAGCCACAGTGATCCTGGAAGGTGGAGAGACAGCAACATTCATCTTTAGAGCCTCATTCTGGGGCACTTGTGAATGGCTGGACCCCAGAGTACTAGGAAGATGGAATTCTTCTGCCCTGGTCCCACAGCTCTCCATTTCCAGTACTGGATGAGAGGACAGGAATTCTGAATAGAGGGAACCTCGGTGCCCTCCCAGGCTTCAGAAGTCACTATACCTTGGGAGTTGATATCCTCAGCTTGGCCTCACATATCTAAGGACATTATTAATTTTGCCTCCCAAGCAGAATCGCTAGCAGTTCCAGAGTTGAGACCTTACTCACATCTAATCAGCTATGCCCCATACAGGTAAATCCTTCATTGCCAGGGCAGTGGGAATTACTGCTCTACAAACAAAAGGAAATGGCCACAGCCATGGTTGCGTTACTTATTAGGCACTATTCCCTTAGGAGCAGAGGGCCTTTGTGAGTTTGCAAAATCCTTGTCTTTGTGGAGTTCTGTTCCTTAAGCATCTCTGAGTAAAGGTGGGCAATGAAGAAGGAAGCATTGTAAGAAACTAGGGGGAGTTTGGGGGGAAATCCTAGCAGCTCCAGTGTCCAAGGGACAGAGATGCTGGCACAAGTCTCAAGATGGAGAAAACAAGTCCCCCTCCCCCACCAAAAAATAACAAAATGCAGGAATATGGAATAAGGTGGTTTGTGTGTACACTGATGAGTGTACCAGGTCAACAGCCTTGCCCTTAAAGTACTGGATTATACCAATACTGAGCCTCCTTGCTGGGACAGTAGTAATTGGCCCAGCACCACTAAGAGCCACCTGGCAAGAAAACCAAAGACTCTTCTATGGCTGGTTCTCTGACCAGGCATTCCAATCACAGACAGAGATTCTAAGCAAATACAGAGACAGAGAAATTATTTTGGAAACTTTAACTGCTGTTTGGGTTTTGTTGTTTGTTAGCAATACTAGTTATAGTGGTGAGGGAAAGTATTTAACATGCATATGTATATACAGTGGGTGTTTAACATTCCAGGAGCTAATACTTTTTAGTTGTGTGGAAGCTCATTGAATCTTTGCAATAGCCTTGTGAGCAAGTACAGTTGTCTCACTTTACAGGCACAGAAACTGAAGCACAGTTAGATTAAGACTCTTGCTTCAAGGTCACAGCTATTGAGGTGCATGTGGGATTTGAACCTAGACATGGCCATCTACTGAGCTGGTATGTGGTGCCGTGGACACTTGTCTTATCTCCTCTCACATGTCTTCCTGGTCTTTCTGATGACCAACACTGATTTCCCTTTGAGTATTTTGTCCTTGTGCTGAACTATGTTGTTTTCATAGTGGTGGTTCCTCCTTGTACCCACTTGTGCCATCAGACAGACCTGATAATCTTGTGTTCTGTGGCCCAGAAATAACCCAAGCCAGCAAGGAAATAAATTCGGGCATTGATCAGACCTATGAGAAATAAAGCCTTTTCTTGCTGTAAGGCCTGGAGTTGTGACACTGTGAGTCAGAAACTATACATATGGAGTGTCAGCCTGCAACCAAAGCCATGCTGAAGAAAAGATTGCCCAAGCTATAGAGAGATAACTTCTGGTGGTATCTGCTGAAACATGGACCTATGCTTGTCTGTAGGAATTAGTCATCAGCTTTCCAGTTATGTGAGACAATGGACTGACTACCTTTGGGGCTTAAGTGGTTTGCATTAGATTTGTATCAATTATAATGGAAGCAAATCTGAGTAATTCAAAAATATGATTATATAAAAATTAGCAAAATTTAAAGCCATGCAATTTATCAAAATCTTTTTCTCCCTAGATGGGTTCAGTGTATAGCAGTATCTAATAAGCAAAAGGAGAAAAAGATTAAGTATCTGTCATTGTGGCGAACTGGTGGGAGTAGGCATCATATAGT